TCATTTTCTATCTGAAGGGCGGTGTTTCGTCTGAAAGTGTTTGCACTGAGGTATCTGCATCTGTCCTAATTGCAACAACGGCCTTCTTGAGTGCGGCAACGAAGGTGCCTTTGAGGTTCATTGAACACCTAGCCACCTTCTCTACGGCAGCTAGGTTTTCTTCAATTCGTCTTCTAGCGCTACCGAGCGTACCCGTCTCTGAGGGTTTCCATTGAAGCCGCGGTTTCGCCTGGCTTCGCTCTCTCTCTCCACCTCCGCACTCTTTGGTAACCCGCTTTGTGCGATCGCGCGACAGACTCGGGCTACGCGAGCTGCTCTCTTATCATCGTCTCGTTCTCTTACGAGGTCGCCAAAAGCGCAGCTTCTCCCCGGGGTGGAGCTTCACCCACGACTCGGGGACTCTGATGGTTGTGCGTTGAGCCTATGCTTACCATGGAGCCGGTTGAGTCTGATTCCATCTGTCAGCCATGGTGAATTTCCTGGTCGCACTGCGCGCCGATGATGTATCCATACTCGGAATGCGCTCGAGGGGACCTCTGCGCTCTCCTGGTACAGTTTTCTCTCCTTGTGTAGATGGTGGCGGAAAAGCGTGAGACTCTCCACCTTCGTCGTCCGTAAGCTTATTCAGTTCCGTATTGCCAGGTTTTTGTTTTTGGAATCTGTTGCACGGGAGTGGTCCGCCCCCAGAATACGATGCGGACTGGCTGCCAGACCTCCTGGTCATGGGAGGGATTTAACCCTCCTGGGGTGTTTTTACATTTCGTTACTTTCCATGCTTTACTGCTTTTCATATTAAAGAGGGGTAGCTCCTTTGGTACCCTATGACCGGTTTAACCCTCCGGCCATGCATTCCATCACCGGGCACCAAAGCTTGGAATTCAGGTGTTCTGGACATAAATATGAATGAGTAACACAAATGTCCGAATAGCTCGGCGGCTCGCCAACATCACGAGCGCCTTGGCCTCGTATGCTACGAAACACTATATATATATTTTTTTTTTTTTTTTTTTTTTGTGTCTCTCTCAGGCCATCCCGCTAGATTTTTCAGCAGAACCAGTCGGAGCGTTACGCTCGTGTTATCCCACCAGAGGGCGATGGGGTATTCCTACGCCTTAATAACCCTTAGTCGCCTTTTACGCACCCACGGTAGAGATGGAGAGGTTATTATGAGCCGGCACCCCACGGAGGCGTATTGAAGAATCTGACAGAAGGAATTCACAACAAGCTCCAGGTCATAGGTGTAAATGTTGTACAGAAGGGGACTCAAAACAGAACCTTGAGGTAAGCCCCTCCAAATAGATCTAGGAGACAGCTCCGTATTTTGAGATCTTATAATAATATAACGATTCGAAACTGCATTGCAAACAAAACGTACCAACTTCTCAGGAATACTCAGCTGAAGCATTTTTTGCCTGAGCACTGGAACCAGCACGTGGTCATACGCAGATGCGATATCCAAGAAAACACCCACCAGGAACTGTTTCTTTTTAAAAGCAATGCGAATGTCGGTCGTTATTATACTTAGGCTATCCATCGTACTTAAGCCTTTCCTGAAACCAAACTGGGATTTTGCAAAGATATTGTTACTTTCACAAAACCATTCTAAACGAATTTTAATCAAATGTTCCATAATTTTTAAAAGGGTAGAAGACAAAGCAATAGGTCTGTATGAAGAGAAATCTGATGGATCTTTGCCAGGTTTTAGAAGCGGAATGACGATTTGTCTGTTCCACGATTCAGGAATAATTCCAAGATCGAAAAAACAGTTTACTAAATCTAGAAAGTACCTCTTAGTGCCTAATGAAGAATTTATGAGGAATGAGTAAGGGATTCCATCTTCTCCAGGGGAAGAGTCAGAGATACCATTTAATGCTTTGTTAAGTTCTTCCAAGGAGAATTGACAATCTAGACTGTTTGAAGAGGGGATGTAAGAATTATACTTATAAGGAAGACAATCATAAAAAGGGACTGATGGAGGAGCCAATTTGTCGGCAAAGGAGGTAATCCAGCTAGACGGATCATTAAAAGGGACATCATAAGAATTGAGGGAACAACGGAATCTTCTGATCTGCCTCCAAACAACAGACGAAGGGGTACCAGGGCACATGCTCTCACAGAACTTATGCCAACCAAGACGTTTCTTATTATTAAGAAGTCTGCGAGCAGCTGCAGAAGCTTGTTGGTAGACTAAAAAATTTTCCAAGGTCATGCAAAGACTGTATGACCTTTCTGCCGTTTTTCTTTTTCGAATCATCTCAGTACATTCGGAATCCCACCAAGGAGGAGAAATTTTCCTTTGTGTAGAAGATTTGAGTGGAATATGTAAACTGGCAGATGAGGTGAGGGAGTTGACAAAATCATTGTATGAAGATAGGCAGTTTTCAACAGAAACTGCGGGGAGCGCAGCTATCTTAGAGTCAATAGAAGATGAAAAGTCTGACCAATTGGCCTGATTCAGTTTAAATTTTAAAAGAGGGGAAGGGCGAGTAACGCTCCTTAAATTGGTTGGGAGATCAATTAAAATGGGGAAGTGGTCACTCCCACAAGTGCTCTTAAAAACACGCCAGGATAGAAAAGGGAAAAGATCAGGAGAACAAAGTGATAAATCCACTGCGTTAGCGGGATTCTGAGATGGAAGACTCCTTCTCGTAGGACAACCATTATTCAAGACACTTATGTTTATATCATAGAGTAAATCTAGTAGAAGGGACCCAAAAGAATCTGAGGAATGACAACCCCAAGAAACATGGTGGGCATTGAAATCACCCAACATGACAACAGGAGGAGGAACCGAAAGGATAATAGAACGTATATCAGAAATGAGGTCGATATGGGGGTGGGGAATATAAACAGAAATAAACGAGATATTAAAAGCTCTCATAGCAACAGCATTGATACCATCACAATGAGGAAGAGATAATGAGTGGAAGGTGAGGGATCGGCTGACCAAAAAGGCACAGCCAGCATAGCCATCATCCCTGTCATCTCGGAGACACCGATACCCAGAAACCCTAAAGCGGGAACCCGGCAATAACCAAGTCTCCGAAATGGCTAGAATAGATGGAGCGAATTTATTGATAAGAAAGGTTAATTCTGATTTTTTACTGCGAATACTGTTACAGTTCCACTGAATTACCAGATTCGCCATTTTTGGTGACGAATGAGTGGAGCAAATTAATTTTTTGGGCAACGTGGGACGGTATGGGGATGTCATCATACTTGGATAGCATATTACAAATGACTGCCCATAAGCAGTCAAGAAGATTTTCATTTGGGGAGACTTCATTGTTGATAAGGGAAGGGGAGCTTACGGCACAACCATTGGGTAAAGAGGAGGGTAATTGGAAGTAATGGCCTCATGGGCCGCCTTATCAAAGGATTTTCCTGATGTTGGTCTAGAGCGAGGAGGGAGAAATACAGTTTTCCTGTAAGATGTAGTCTGACGGGAAACTTGGGAAGGTAAAGTAATGGGCTGGGATAAAGAGGAGGGGGTTGCTTTTACAGAATCTGCAAAAGTTTTGCCATTGATAGGTCTAAACCGAGCCGATGCTTCGAGATAAGAAATGCTCTCTTGAGACATACAACTCTTTATATTTCTTTGTCGATTATGTTCAGGGCAAGCTTTGTTGGTCGCAAAGTGTGAGGCAGTACAAAATAAACATAATGACTCTGTTTCAGGGATATTACACTCATCACCAGAATGGGCTAGACTACAACGAAAACACCTAGGCTTCGATCGGCATTGTGACTTTACGTGACCAAACCTACAACAGTTAAGGCACTGAATTGTAGGGAGTTGGTACGTTTCAACGCGGAGGGAACTATGACAAGAGAATATTCTCTCAGGAAGGGTTTGACCTTGAAAAGTTAGAACAACGGTTTGTGTTGGGATCCAATTAATATGACCATCGGAGTTCGTCTTGCGGTTTAGGCGTCTGGCCTTGAGGACTATACCTGTACCTTCGGGAATTTCCAAGGTTTCGACAAATTCCTGCATCGACCAATCAGCTGGGACACCTCTCACAAGGCCCATACGGGAAACATTATAGTTAGGAATCGTAACAGAATAGTTGCTGGAAGGTACAATGGGATTAGACACAAAATTATTCGCATCTAAGCCCGACTTAAACTCAACAGATATTCTGTTACGTCCCACTCTTTTAACACCATCACGAACAATGTTACTTACTTTATTTTTTACCAAGAAGTGACCAAATTTAATTGGGCGGATTGATGTACCGGCGGATGGGTCAGATTCAGGGCAAGAAACATGGACTAAAAAAAGGGCCCTTGTCATTGACAAGGTATGACTTGGGAGAGCCAGTGAGAGATGGATGGGAGTAAAATCCTGGGTTGCCGTCATCAACAGATGACCGGACATCAGTCATTGGTTTTTTGGAAGGTTCCACTAAAGATTCATTGACAGTATCAAGTCTGCGCTTGACACCAGGTTGGGGCAACAGTGGGGTGAATAAATCCATTGATTCCACCGGAGAAGAGACCCTATCCGGAGGATCAGGGGGGTCTGGAGGGCGTTTCTCCATTATAAACTACCAAAAATATAACAAGGTAAAGGGAGAACTATAACAAATAAATAAAAATAACTTACGTAATTAGTTGATGTTATTAATTAACCACCACCAATAGGATAAGTTAACTTATATTCATTAAACTACGAGAAAAAATAGAAAATACTAAATAATGATATCCGAAACACGTGTAAACACTTATACCCGCAACGACGGAAAACCAATCGAGTCTAGAAATCAGTAACACATTGTTGGAATTGACAATTGCCTTAATTCATAAAGCAGAAAACTGTCATTCCAATTTACATATTTACATTGTGATTATGACAATTGACATTAGCAATCAATGTCATATTCACAATTCACATGTGCTGTGAACTGCACCCTTGTTGAATTTTTTGTATTTTGTGATATTAAAATCATTCAGTAAAAGTGGTGTTATTGAATATATATAATATATATATACGTAAAATGGGTAAAAAGCGAAAGTTCAGTGCCCCAGAATCCACTCCTAAGTCTTCAATTGAAGTAATCGTAGAAGATGTAACAACACATCCAATGTGTCTTCATGGACCAACTTTGTTGTTTTCTACTGAAAAAGGAAAGTACTTTGGTTGTGCATCATGCAGAGATAAAAAAGATTGTACATTACATATTGACGAAGAGGATTGGAAAAAGGAAGGTGTTAGAAAACGAAATGAAAAGTATTATAACCTCATACCAAAAGTAGATAAAAATACCGCTTGGAAGAACTTTAACGAGGTAAGAGGTTATTCTGTTTTAATTATCCTTGGAAGTTGAGGAATATATATTTTTTTTTCTTTCCATTAGCTCCAATTGATTTGGTCATTTTCTGATATTAATACTATTTGATTTTATTTTCGAGTTTTCAGAAGAGTTTAAAAATTTAAACATATCTGCGCAAGGCCCTTTTATAAATGAGGTATACTCGCATACATTCCCCTTTGAACACCCCTAAAATCAAAGCTAAGAGAAAGATTAATCCATTATTTTTATTAAAATTGACATGTTTGATAATTATGTTAAGAATTGTATTGATAAAATTTACAGGTTAAAATGAGGCATGCTTCTGACCGTGCTTATTGCAACACCTGCAAAGATCTATTCAACATATCTCAAACGAAGAAGCATCGTGGTGACCACAGAGTTACAACTCCGCTCACTGAAGAACAGCTGCGAAACCCTTCTACATGGTTGCCTACTCTTGAAAATGATTACCGTGAAGCACAATATCTTTTTACAAAAAAAGCTGTTAGTACTGTGCTAGGAATACTAAAAAACAATAAAATAAGGTAATCTCACTTTATACAATGTTAATTTACTGGCTTAAAATTGTTATGCAGGTGTAGCCTAGAGGTTAAAGTAAACCACTGTTTCTCAATCCTAAATATAAGAATTGGAAACCCAGCTGTTTTTTACTATATTTTGCAAAATAGTTGATGTAGATTACAAACTGTATAACCAATATTTATATTACTTTTTAAAAATACTAATAATTGTATTGAATTATTATATGTATTGTGTGAATATTTCTAGGAATATCCTATGTATAGGCACTCCATCAATTCATGAAGCAGCACAAACACATCCAGAATTTGATTCAATTCTCTTAGATTTTGATACCCGCCACCATCAATTCTATCCACCAAATAAATTCTTGTGGTACAACATGTTTAATAACTACTTATTTGATGGGAATAATGATGAAAAAGTGTTAAAGAAATTTTTGAAGGCATCAAAGTAAGTTATTGTAATAATTGTTACATTTTATCTCAGCGTAAAAGCATAAACAATTTCAAAATTGGAACTGGTAATTTTTATTGATATTATTTTGGCTTTCTGTTAATTTTGTGATTTGAATAATAATAGTACTTGATAATGTGTTGCACCAGCTTCTTTTTGCACAGCCTAAATGACAAAACATTTTTGACATGTGTGCCCATATGTCTATTGTATATTGATTGTATATTGCAACATTATATAAAAATCTTGATTCTTAATTAATTTTTTTTAGGGACACAGGCTTATGTATAGTAATGGACCCTCCATTTGGAGGAAGAGTAGAACCCCTCGTTCACACTATTAAGGAATTATCTGCAACATACAATAAATTGTGTGAAACAGACGGTATTTTGCCAGTTATCTGGGCTTTTCCATATTTCTCCGAGCCATATATAAGAAATATGATCCCACATATTAAAATGCATGATTATCAGGTAACTTTTATATTGATTATTCTGCTATTTACAACTAAGTAAATATAAGTTATTGAAAAATAAATACATACTTGATACTTTAAGAGATAGTAAAATATTTATTGTTTAAAGTTAACTTTTCTTACCACAGGTTGAATATCAAAATCATAAGAAATTTCAAAATAGCAAAGGTGGTCGAAAACAAGGCTCACCTGTTCGATTCTATACAAACTTACCATTTGCAACAATTGATTTATCAAATGACAGTAACTATAAATATTGTAATAAGTGCAAATACTGGGTTGGGAAATCTAATGTGCACTGTAATAAATGTAAAGAGTGTGCAAGTAAGGATGGAACAACTTATGTACACTGTAACCTGTGCAATCGGTGTGTGAAGGCAACATATGAACATTGTAACACCTGCAGTAGATGCTGTCAAGTTGGACATAAATGTGGTATACTTGTCGAGTCACAGGTGAGACACATTTGTAGAGCATAGGTTCGGTTCAGTTCCGACAACAGCAGTTACAAGAATGGGCTGTAATGCCTTTTAAATAAAAAATATTATTATTCAAGTAGCGAACCAAATTAAATTTTGCTTTCCAAGACAAGAGAATGCAGCCTTCAGCACCAAAGAACTTTCAGCAATCTTGCACTGCAATTTATTAATTGGCTATTTGGAGCTTGAGGCTCAGCTCTTAAATAAAAAATAAATACACAAAAGTACTATGCGTATTATGCGTATGTCTACATTTCTCTCTGAAACTGCTAGTCTGATTTCAGTGTAGTTTTCACTATACAAGATTTTAGGAACATAGTATAATATTTGTTATCTAAAGAAGTTTATTGAATTTAGGTGATTATTTTCATTTTCACTTTCAGTCATGTTACAACTGCCACGAAAAGGGCCACAAGCAGTTGGAATGTCCACAAAGGAAGACAGAGAAGAAAAAACTGAAATCTAAGTAAATGTTACATTTAATAATTATACTTAAAAATCTTATACAATGCTTTTTATTCATATTTACAATAATTGATTATTAAGGAATCTATATTTTCTCTATTTTAAGTACAACACAAAAGAAAAATTAAGAAAAAGTTTGATCAAAAAAGTAGAATTCATAAAATCAGATATACTATTTACAATCACGATTTAAATAATCATACCACAAAACAAATTATACAAAACCAGAAACATCTCATCCAATTGATGCTGCAAGCGCGTACTACAGTCCACTGAAAAAAAGATTTTCGTTAATAATTATAATAAAAAAAAAAATTTCCGTTAATGGGTTAATAACAACTCGGAGTCAGTTCAAGAATAATATACATACTTGACATTCAGCTTATTGAGCACATCCTGTGTGGCAGCGTATCGCTGATGTACTAATTGAGATTGGTCTTGCCATGCGACACGCACTTTGCTCCATCTTTTCATGTTTGTAGAGAGTAATTCATCTTTAGTCGGAAGAGTATGTTCCTGGAAATAAGGGATTTGCTAATTTTAGTGAGCATTAATCAATGAGTAAATCCTGGATAGAGAATGCCTTGTATACTAACATTTGACAGACAGTCTGTTCCACTGAGAAAAATCTCTGCTTAATGTTGGTACTGACATATAAAAAAGCAACGTAAGCTAAGGATACTATTAATGTTAATCAATAGCTTAGCAGATAAAAAAAGATAAATTAAAGATATATATATAGGAATCCTTCTCCTTTCCTCCTCCCATCGCTTGCTTACTGTTGAGCGTCGTGATGCTCCCGACCCCGTTGTCGCACTGCTGCTTCCATCTCTGACGATCTACAGCTAGGTGAATGGCTTCAGTGATCTTAGTGCCCAGATTTTGTGATATCTGGTCGGTCACACTTGATGGACAACGTTCTCCCACACGTTCCCACCACAAGGTTATGTCCTATCCCCGAACCATATCTCTTCTGTATATCAATGACATTTTGCATCTCAGGAACATTCACTAAGCGCTGGGGATACTCTTTACATAGCGTGTAGGTACCGTAACACACTGGTTTCTGAAGTCGAATCTCTGCTACGTGGAGTCGCGGACTGGACTGGAATTTATTCCAATTTAACCCCAAGACATAATTTTTGCGTTTTCCATTAAAAAAAACACCCTGTCGCTACTCCTCTCTTCGAAGACACTCTCCTTAAAGCCACAGCCAGTATGGGAATACTAGTTGAATAACCGAACAACGCTCAGATTCGCGGTCATTTGGGAGGTGAAGACTAAATTAGCCTCCAAGAAGCTTGGTGGTCATCGGTTGCGACTGTATAAAGCGCAAATTCGGCCCCACATGGAGTACTGTTCTCAGCACTGGACAGGAGCTCCCCAGTACCAGCTCTTTCCACTTCACCGGGCAAAAGTTTGAGATTGGGGGGGCATTAAAATTTTCCGAGCGGCTTGATCGCTTGGCGTTGCGTAGAGATGTGTGGTCTCTTTGGATCTACTACCGCATTTACCATAGAGCCTGTTCAGAGGAGTGGTTCGGATTAATATCTTCAGCTGAGTTTCATCATTGGACGGACTCGAGACGGACTCGGACATTCGCATTTACACAGACAGAGTACGAAATTCTACCTGTATCACCACAACGTCCACCGTTCCTCAAGGTAGTTATTCCCGCGCACCACCTCTATGTGGAACCAAATAATGTCAAGTTTTTCTGAACCAATTCGACTTAGGGTTCTTGAAGAAAGCGAGAGAGTGTCAATGGGCGGCAGTATCAGTTAACAAAAGGTGAGTCTCCTATTTATAGAACATAACAAACAAAAAATCTAAATAATAATTACTCACATAATTCAAATAAATATTGTCCTTGTTCACAGACACCTGTTCAGGAATAAGATTTGGAACACGGGAGATGACTGGGCCATCAGGGTCTGGTAACTCAAGAACTGAATCATTTTCTTCTTTCATACTTTCACCCATATTTAGAATACTGTAATTGAAACCAGTTTTCATGAAATTGGGAAAGTCAGCATTTGAACAAGACTTGGACTGTCCAAATCACTAGTAATCATTACAAATAATCTCTTATCTAATACCCCAGTCTCATTGATATAATAGAGTATTAAAAAACTTCTATACTTGTATTGGTTCTGAATCATACTGTGACTAGTTTTAGCCACCTGTTTAGTTAGTTCGCAAATGTTTGTGTCAAAATGTTAATATTATGAATCTTAATATGGCATACTTATTGAATTAGATCTAAATTTTAAATTTCAATTTATATGAAACTTACCTTATCTTTCTATAATCAGATTTTGGTTGATTGATAATCCATGCCCTGCATATTGGATACAAGGGTGTCTCATCAGAGAACTGAGAGAGATCTACACTTCTATCAAATAGCTTGAGGACATATGACTGGCGTTGTGGGGCTCTATATAGCCTGTCCTCTTCATCTGATGATGATTCACTACTAGTTGACTTCCTAAAATTTATTTTTTTATAAAAGTAAAAGATTATTAGTGACCAACTAACATACAACTAAAGTATTGGAAACTTACTTGTCCTTTTTGACATAGTCTGAAGAGTTATCAGAGTCTATACCAGCTGATGGTTCCAATATCTCCATTAATGCACCTTTCAGTCTACCACGGGCAGTTGTAACTTCTTGATCTACTGTTAATAGATTTTTTATTAAATTGAAGAATTATTTTAAACTATTGTATAAAAAGCGCTAACTATCGAGATATGTACGACTTACGAGCTAATTTTAGTGAAATTTAGTTGTGTAATTTTTTGCTTTCTTGTAAATAATAAAAAACATATTTAATGTTAGGAAGGAATATATTTAAAAATCCATTAAAAGTAATAAAGTCATTTTTTAAATCTTATTGACTAGCTACTATCCTCGACTATTAGAAATAATACAAATTATGGGTTTCTTTTGTACCTTTCGGATCATCCTCTTTCTTTGGGGTTCTTTTATTTTTCAAAGGAGTAAATCTTCGTCGCCTGGGCATAGTAATAACTATTTCTACTTAACAAAATGTTAAACACTGTGCGACTTTATACGAAATTTAAAATGTGAACACGAAAATCTAAATCTTCAGACTAGTGTTGCCGTTTGCCAACTCGATTCAATAGTAAAAAGTGTTGAAGCATCCAAAAGAAGAATAGAATAGAAAGAATCGTGATAAATAATGTTTTAAAATCCTTCGGTTAAAAAACTTAAAAGTAGCAGCTATAAATATGAAAATTTCCTTTTTAAGCTATTGCATAGATTTTATCGCGGGCTTTGAGCGCGGCGACCGAATCAAGAAATTCCGTAACTAAAAAAACCTAACAAACGATGACGTAATATAGGTGCGGCAAATACGCGTTAGAGTGGGACAGAACGCATACTACATTGAAATAATATCAAAGAAAAAACTTGAATTAATATCAAAGAAAAACAAATATTGCATAAATAAAAAATATATAAATAATTATAACTCCATAAGTTGATAAAAAATGCTATGCAATAGTTTTACCGCAGCAGTCCCCGAGTGCCACACGTTTTTTTTAAATGCTGTTGAAGTTAAACAGATGTAGATAATGAATAACGCTTGATATAAGTATTAGAACTGGGTCGTTCCGTTCCGCTGCTAGCTTTCGCCAACAGATCTAAAAATCAAAATACTAATACCTCTCAATTTATCGTCAAGAGTATAAAGTTTTTCTATTTGGAATTTATTTACTATTTCTAGGAATCTATAATTATTATTTCTCAATACAGTTTCATACTCGGGAGACGACAACACCGGTGTCCGGTTCTCTCTGGTATTATAGTTGTGAGAGAACTAAGAATAAGGGCTAGCGCGCACCGGTGACTTTTGTCACCGTGACTGTTTCGTCACTCACATCAAGTCTATTCAATTTCAATTTCAAAAATTCTTTATTTTGTTTCACAAAATTTATGGTGCTACATATCCAGTGTACTGTGTACATTATTTCCTGGAATGTAACAAGCTTACAACTAGACACGTTTTTACAGCTATTTTGCTTTTTTAAAAACTTATAAAATTTATAAAACTAAAGTTATAATGTTACGAAAGGTTTTAACAATAACAAACAATTTTTAACAATGAGGTAAACTACCTGGTAATTATGCAATCTTTAGATGAGATTTGCATTTTGACATGCCTAAATTGAATAACTAAATATAGTTCTAACAATAAATGGGGTAGCACCGAGAACAAAAGAGTGGACGGCAAGCAATCACAATAGGAACAGTCACCCGCTAAGGCTAGCGCGAGCATCAGTCACGCAACGCACGCGTAATCCAGGTCTATATATATTTATAATAAGGCCGGAGGTCGCGCGCGACGCGGTGGCCAACACTCGCGCACCTGCGCGGGCCACTGATAACCAGTTATTCATCGCACTCAAGAAACAAGTGATGGGGTAATTTGTATCTGTTGTATTTATCGATGTAAGGTAAATTTTTCATCCGCGTTTTACAAAGGTTATTAATATATTTATTTTTACTTTTTCGGTTGTTGTGTAAATAGAATTTTTTTTGATAATTTGAATATAAACTGATAAATAGTCGGAAACTTAATTTTATTGTGAAATTTTTGGAGGTTTGTTCGAAACGGAGTATTAAATGCATATTTCAATGCTTTGTTTTGGACAACCTGTAAGCTATTTAAATTAGTAGGGCACGTACTGCTCCATACTGGGCAGGCATAAGTTATGCAGGGTCGTATTAAGGTTCGATATACACTTAGCTTTGTTTTGCTACTGAGGCACGATCTTCTATTTAAGATGGGGCTCAGTGCATTCAAAGCCTTCATGCTCTTGAGCCTGATGTATTGTGTGTCCAGTTGAGTTTGTTGTCTAATATGACACCCAGGTACTTAACAGAGCGACTCCATGGTATCGCATATCCTTCAATATTGAGGGTACGAGTAGGCAGCGATCTAGTCCCGGAGAACATAATTGCCTCTGTTTTAGAGGCGTTAATTTTTAATTTCCACTTCCTGAAAAAGGCGGTCAATAAGTCGAGTGAAAGTTTGAGGCGACTTATGATCAAATCCAGGTCTTTGGAGGAAGTAAAGGATGCCGTATCATCGGCAAAACAGGCGAGATTAGTGCGTGTTTGAATGGGTATATCGTTAAGGTATAGTAAAAATAGCTGGGGGCCAAGAATTGAACCTTGGGGGACTCCGGCTGGGACAAGTTTAGGTGAAGAGAGTGTACTATTTATGTGCACCTTGAAAGATCTATGGGTTAAGTACGATTTCATTATTTTAATTATTGCTATAGGTACGCCAATTTTTAGCAGTTTGTGGATAAGGGCTTGGTGCCAGACTGTGTCAAAGGCTTTCTCAATATCTAGGAGGAACATGCCTGTAGATTCACGCAAATTGAGTCCATGAGACACAGTCTCAGCTACTCTAGCGAGCTGTTGGGTAGATGAATGAGCTTCACGGAAGCCAAACTGCTCATCAATTATTATGTGTTCGGTAGCTCTGCGAAGTCGGTTGCATAAAATCTTTTCGAAAAGTTTGCCTAGGCAGGGTAAGAGGCTAATTGGGCGATAACCTACAGGATCAGATGGGTCTTTGCCCGGCTTGTGTATAGCTATGACTTTTGCTATTTTCCAAGCCTCAGGGAAATATGTAGTCAGTAAGCAGGCATTAAATAATTTTGTTAGCAACACAATACATTTTTGGGGTAGTCGTTTGATTAGATGATTCGAGATTTCATCCGGTCCAGCTGCTTTACGAGTTTTGAGTGAAGATATAAAATTGGCTACTTCAGCTGGTTTAACCAGTTGAATTTGATAACCGTCTTGCTGAAGGCTGTCTAGGGAGTACCAGGAGGCATCGACAGCGGACTGCTCGTCACTAATCCAGTTTTGGGTGAGCAACATGTTGTGAGAAAAGGTATTAGCTAAAACTTCACACTGTTCCTTAGCATTTAAAGTTGTGGAACCATCTTTAGTTTTGAGAGGGGCTAAAGATGGGAGAGAAGTTGATTTCAGCCCTTTGGCAATGCGCCATAAATCGGCACACGGATTGTCAACTTTTCTAAGTTTACGATCCCACAGGTTGTCACGGTGGTTTATTAATGCAGCATTAATATCTTGTTGAAGGTATTTCACTTCAAGATTTATAAGTTTACGGGTTACAGCATTCGTTTCTTTAGCAGAATAGCGTCGTAAGCGATTTTTATTTCTTATTTTTCTTTTGATACTTCTTGGCAGTGAGGTCTCCCAAGGTTTAAGGGTTGTAACCGGGATATTGACGTTTTTAGCAGAAATTATAGAGCTTTGAAGGTTTGAGATGGCGGAGTCAATATCATCGGGAGATTTAAAGTTCGCTTTGTGTAAAGATATATTTTTATTTAAATATGAGCGGTAACCATTCCAGTCAGCCTTTGCGTAATTTAGCTTAAGAATGGGCTTGCGACGCGCTTTAATAGCGAGACGTACAAATACTGGGAGATGGTTGGAGGAAAGTGCATAGATGGTCTCAATTGAGTCAACGGTATAGATGTTTTTAGTGAGTAACAAATCGGGGTTGGTCGCTAGCCTGTTTTCATTGTAATGGACTAGGGTAGGCTCACTAGGGGCATGGACAATCATTTCATCGTCGAGCATGAGCTCGTAGATTGTATTACCATGGGTGTTAGTTGGACCAGGTGACCAATAGGGGTGCCTAGCATTGAGATCACCCATAATTAGTATCTTATTATTTGACGAAAAAGGGCGTTTAAGTCACTAGAGAGCAAGGGCATATTGGGTGACTGGTAAGCGGAATAAATGGTAATTTTGCCGTGGTTAAAATAAAGGGATATTCCTATGGCCTCTAAGTTAAGGGTTGGCGGGGTTAAAACAAGATAGTGTTCTAAATCAGCCCTAACCAAGATAGCAACACCCTGACCAGAGCCATCGGCACGGCCATCGAGTCGATAGCAGGAAAAGCCTGGAATTTGAAGGGTAAGCCGCTTTGTTAATCTAGTTTCGTTGAGTGCGATGATGTCAACGTTGAGATCTCTTACCGCCAGTTCAGCTAGTTCCTGCTGCTTTTTGTGAATACCATCGGCATTCCAATAAAATACACGTAGTTCATTGAGGTTAAACATAGTGACCAAGGTGAGACAGAATTAAGATTACTTTGTCCATGAAAGTATCACATTTAATGAAGTCCTTCTTGAGGGTTTTGATAGTTGAAAGAATTTGAAGCATTTCACTCGTCGTCGTGTCTTGGCGGGTGTTTGTGCGGTCCTCACTCGGTGGGGCAGTCCTTAGAGGTACACGCGTTGGCAATGGTTGAGAATCATGGTACTTTGGAGCCACTGCTGCCTGAACGGGAAACATTTGGAGGGGCACGCTTTGCTTCGTAGCCGCGTGGGTTGATTTCACGATGGCGTTGCGAAACGAATCTCTCTTGGTCTTGATACGTTCAAGGTACTTAACCCGCTCCTTGCACAGCGAGTAATTTGCTGCGTGATCTTGCCCACAATTGCAGCAACGAACAGTTTCTATGAAGCCCTTTTTGGGGCACTGTGAAGTTGGATGCTCCAGAGAGCATTTGACACATCTAGCGGGTCTATTACAGTTTCGGGAAGCATGACCGAAACCCTGGCATCGGTAGCACTGGGTGCAGTTATTGCTACTAGTTTTGTAGCGCTCGATCACAACAACGCAGTTAGCCAGGTACTTTATTTGCTTGAACTTTGCCATATCAGTCCCTGTGGGAAGTTGTATTATTACCGGGGGCATTGAACTGGCTTGCTCAGCTTAACTTGGGTGGCAGTGGCGCCAGCAAAGCCAAGGGACTCCAGTTCCGCTGGTAGGCAATCGATCACGTTCGTTGGAAGACCTTTGACAACCACTTTAGGCATTTTTTCATCCTTCCTGGTGAACGTATGAAATGACACATTTTCATTGAGGAGTCCAGTTTTGACGAGTTGATGGCTCTCAGATGAGTAACATTGTATTTTGACTCGATTACTACCTTTGTATTCAAGA